TTTTCAAATATATCCTATAATGTCTAGCCAAATTTCATAAATAGCGTTGCATGGTCTTCGGCGGCTACTGTATGCAGCTAAATAGAAGATATTTTTTAGAAGGCCTGGGTTGTTTCATTGTGTCTTCGCTATGGGGGTAATCCTCTGTGTGTTAACCACTTCATCCATATAACAACATGCGCAAACGTTTGTAGCCGTGCTTTTTGTTATTCAATCTTTTAATTGATTGCGATTTGCTTGTTGTTTATTCTTTTACTATTGCGGTCAGTTGCATTGCTATATATAGGCCTAAGGGCATACTTTTGGCGGAAATTTATTTATTTTTATCTTTTCCTGCCGTTGCCCGTGATTGTCTACCGATATAAAATCGGGTCCACAGTAGGTTTCCTATCTTATAAAATGTCAACCAACATTTTTAACTATGTTCTCGATCAGAAAAGCTAACCTATGCGGGGCTCTAATACTACATGTCATGCAGCAAGACCACAAACTATTTCAGTCATATCATAATTAGAAACTTCTGTAAAACCGAAAGATACTCTTACGTCGGGCTGGTATCTGTGGTCTGTTTGTGGTCTATTTCATACCTATGCAGCTTAGCTGCTTCCGTGAGCTAATTGAGCAGTGTACACCCATTCTTAATTGCACAATGTGTCCTTTTATCCTTCGTAAAACATATTTTTATCCTTTGATACTTTTTTGTTAGCAATTCTCATTCAGTTTTTATATTTAAGGTATTGCATTGATCATGGAGAAGGCCATATAACAGTAGTTCTGAGCGCATGTTTGGAAGTTCAATAATTCATAATTTGCACCATGCTAATCACTTTCGAAACCTCAACCATCTAGAATTGCCCACTTGACCTTCGAAAATCTTGTAAAGTTTTAGCGACATTATGAGAAGTGTTTTCGGCCGGAAAACAGTGCTTAACTGGATTGTAAAAATTTACTATCACACCACATATTAAGCAAATATTTAAAATACGCCAGAATTCCGAATTCTAAATGTATGTGTTCTCGGCTGACTGTAAAAACTGCATCCGATTCAAATATGACTCCTCAAGAAGTAGGATTTTCCATTGACACTAGGTACTTTCAGGTGCTTAATTATATTTTATTGAATATATGCTTTAGTATATATTTTTCCTTGTATTCATTTAGAAGGAAATCAGGCTTCTGCAAATGTTTTATGCAAAGACAGGGCATATGTTAGGTTGAATAAGTTCGAATTCCCGAATAATTTGGAGACGGATCTCTCGCGGCATTTGCGTTTAAGACTTACTGTGTGTATATTATATTCCTTTCATGTTAGGAGAGTTATACAGCCCCTCCACTCCTTGAAATGAATGCGGACCATGTCGCGTAAGCAAAATTGATAGCACTACAGACACGATATTCTGTGAATGGCTGCTGCTTGGTTTTCATAAAGCACACGATCACAAAATTTTCAAAACTTAAAGACATCCCTTCATTGAGCCGATAATTTACGAAGACCTGATTTACAAGCAAATGCGTATAAGAACGAATATTCATCTATATTTTTTTTCATTTTAATATATTTGGTTTGTCAAGGTCGTATAAACTTGCCAAAAAATTAACACTGTACTAAGGAGTGTAGCCTCGTCATGTAATCGAGAAGCAAATCTTCATTAGCCGTCATCCAAACCTTTCTCAAATGCCTCGGCAGTAGGCCTCATGATGACATTTAAACCTCAACAAAGTAACTCTCCCTAAGCGAAGGTGCATCGTTGAATTTCGGTTGATATTTTATGATATTGACCACCGACGGGATATGGCAGACGCCTTCGCTGTCTAACGACAATCAGGTCGCTTACAGTTCATGGGAGACCAGATATTGTGGACGCGCTCTTAAACCTCCCTTTCAATCTTTCTTCGAGATACCTCCTACGTCATTCTTCCACCCTGTTATCTATTTCCGGCATATCATTCCATGATGACCTAATTGGCTTGATGACGTTTAGATCACGATGGAAACTCCGCTTCCTAATCTAGTAGGCTTTTGGATTCTTACCTCAGATAAGGAATACTACCTCCCAATTTTTAAATCAGCCTTTTTGGATGCCCCCGGGGTCAAGGGGCCAAATTGTTCGTCTGCAAAAGTTAATAACTAAGTCGATTGTTTGAGGGGCCTCTTCTTGATCTACTACGCTTGCCCGATTTTCTACTTTTTAACCCTGACTCAATTGGTCTGGTTACGATACAGATTGTTTGCCTGATCTTACCGTTTTGGCACACTAGAACATGTAAATTATATGACAGCATCACATAAATCGCCGTAGTTTACGTCATAGCACCGTTTGTAGGACAGTGTTTACAAACCGGTATATAAATAGTTCTGGTCTTGCGCAACTGAGAGCTGCTGGAGACTGTGTCACGCCTCACGATTTCTTACCCAGTGACTGCATTTCAACGAGGCACAATGATGCCTCTGGAACTGTTTTCGCCGATTTTTAAAAAAATTTTCAGTTATTACCCACCCCTTTAGCTAAAAGAGAAGAGGTCTTCAAATTTCCTAAAAATCTGACAGGGTGAACACTTTTTAATAGATTAATTAAAAAATTGCTGTCTGATATAGCAATCAAGAGGCAGAATGAAAAAAAAACATACGAAACTGGAGCTCGATTGCATCAAAAATTTCCTTTTGGCAAAAACAGCTGTTTATTAGCACCTGCTCGTTACGACAAACGGACAACCGACTACCTTTCATAAAATAAAAGAGCCTTTTTTTTATCTACTTCGTTTAACCCGCTCGTTAATTTGACGGCATTATCATCTCCAAAACCTGTCTAATGTCTCATATTTCTGAGCTGCCTTATGTCTCAACTTAATAAACCTTGCCTGTGATTTAATCCACCGGGGAACAACTTGCTATTTGTACTACTCTGACCTAAGAGTGAGCCGTCAATGTATTTTTGATAAACAACCAGATTGGTGACCACACCGTGACACCGAATAGCGCCCAGCCTCTCGAATTCCTTATCTTCTGTTTACAGAAGCAAGTTTTTCACCTAACAACAACAATCTGAAAACGGGCGGATATATGCATTAAGCCACCGGAAGAGCATGAGGATGGTAAACTACTACAAGTAATTTAACTGCCAGAAAGTGCAGTTTTATGTCGGGAAATATTTCAAAAGTACATCTGCTTATTAGATGACTGAGTATGCTCCATAACAATTACTTTTACCTTTTCTTTTGGCCTGCCTGTGAAAAAAGACAACGCAAGCTGATTTTCCAATCCCTGTTAAAATTGTAGACTAAAATATTAATTTTATGATTTTGCTTGCGGCTTTCATCTCTGAATAATTGTCAAGTCAAGGGAAGTCATTGGTTTACTAAATAATGTTAGCTTTGTGATCATTTCCTTAGAGATGATATATGCATATAATAAAATATGGCTCATTCAATACCAAACTCATCGAATTGAACGAAAATCGTCCTTCTTTCAGTTGGCCTCTCCAGCCCCTTTGTGAACTTCTTCGGCTTTCGGTGGGCTGCTTGCGTCGGTGGTTTACTTGCTGGCATATCAATGGCGGTGGGGTGCCAGTTCAAGAGCATTGTTGGAATGAGTATTTTCTTCGGCTTCTTTTCTGGTGCGTTCGTTCACTTTTTACTTACGCTCTCCTCTGCGTTCTTACTCATATGTCATTTAACTATATGCTAACATTTTCATACAATGTTTACCCTAGTACAGGCTCGTGCTCACTAAAACAATTTTGTACTGCAGACTACACACCCTTAATACGATTGATTTGAATTTAAGGGGCCCTTTCTGTAAATGACTACGAAATTCGGTTGAATGTGATATTATATACCTACTTATATGTATATAGCAGTAATTTTGTTTAATTTAGGCTTGGGCCTCGGAGCTATTTACCTCTGCGCCATGGTGTCAGTGACCTACTACTTCGAGAAATACCGAGGGGTTACATCCGGTATATCAGCTGCTGGCAACGGTGTAGGTTACATCATAGCACCTCTCTTTCTCAGTACACTGATGGAATATATGGACTGGCGCATGTCCGTACTGGTCTACGCCCTCATCATTGCCAGCGTGTTCTTCAGTGCCGGCATCACTCTGCGGCCTATCGAAGTTGATATTCCTGACCCAGACGAAATGGCCGATTTGGAGGAAAAGCAGTCCCTACTTCAAATGCCCGTTTCCCCCAGGTCTAGGCAGGTTTCGCTGGCATATGCGGACGTGGGAGCGGTCCTCAGAATGCTGGAACCCATTCAGGAAACAGATGTGGAAAGCGGGCAAGCTGCTGCTGCAGTAGTTCCACAAGATCCCAAAGCTCCTGTCGAACTCACTCCTGCAGAGCCGCAAAAATCCACCCAGGAAATGGCTGATGTTCTTGAACCGGTATGTTCGTTTGCAAAGGCTCTGACTTTTGCTTGCGTCTTATTGCCTTTGGATTATATTTCTGCAAGAGGAATTAGCTGTTAGTTAGCGGTTTAGTTGTCCAACTTTTCGAACTCTCACACGAGCTCACTGTCAACAGATGAAAAAAATATACAGCTGACTGCGTATTTAAATCATTTCTACCGAGAGTGACCTTGCCCTTGACTTCTGACCTCGATCTGTTCGCGCAACGCGAGGTAGGTGTCAGGAAGATCAATATGCCTGTTAATTGAATCCGCGCGTGAATGCCATCCTTCCATCAACAGGCGTGAATTTCGGTCGTCTGACTAACCTAGCATTCGCACGCGTTCGGAGTCAAAGCCGTGCCCTGGCGTGGATGCGTAGGCGGCTACCAGGGTAAGCTTGTCCTTCCGCCGCACGGCGAGTTCGTGCTGGTGCATTCTCGTCGGAACCCGTTTGCCGGTTTCACCAACATGATTAGCTTGACCACAAAGATATTCGATGCGGTAAATGACACCGGACTTTTGGTTAACGGGTACTAGGTCTTTAGGTCGCTTCCGGTTTGTGAGCGACGCCAATCCCAAATTCGCTGACCAGTCGAGCGAATTCTTCGGATACACCAGCAATGTAAGGTATTGCTCGCCGCCGTGTCGGTTCTGGCTCTCCCGCTGGTTTTCTTCGTTTGGCTCCTCACCTGCATTTGAAACACCACATACATTGGATAAGATCTTTATTTGATTACCAATAGCACCACAGCGCCTGATCTTTCACTTAATTGTGCACTTCCTTAAATTCACCAGCTGTTACTTTGTGAAAAGCAAACGCTTCAAGCCTTCGCCGAAGCTCCCTAAGAAGCCAGTTGACCTACCAGCAAACGTTTGTAAGTTTTACTGCTTACCCTTCTTTCATTTGTGTCCGATTTTCAAACAGTTTGTTTGCTCTCTAAGACATGTAGCTGTGCCGATCCCAAATCTCGACTAAATACGGTTGATCATGCTGACATTCTATTTGGCTTTATATGCTTCTCGGTGGGTGAGACGATATCAGTCCATCCAGAAATGGTCAGCTGGTCATTTTTCTCCTCCTGGATTATCTTCGACACTTAATGACATTCGCTGCCTTGAAATTCTAGTTTAGGAGTAAAGTCCTTCTTCAGTCATAAATTTTGGTTGGAGCAGCGTCCGTTATTCTTGCGTGGCTCAGCGGCAATTCCGATGAAAAAATGGATAAGCGTTTAAATGCCTGGACTGTGTGATCTTGAATTTTGATGTAGTTGGCTAAAATTCAAAAATACTTTCAGTCTTTCATTGCCCACACTTCTTATAGGCTTACGGTCGCTTGCAGCCTCAAACATTTCATCCTTCCATTTAACAATACGTCGGCGGATAAATTTTCTGTTTATCAAAAGGACCTGGGTCTACTGACCGATAGAGTCGAATGTGCGCATTTCGTGTAAGTTTCTAAGTAAAGATGAGGAAGTCTGTTCATTCGCCGGAATCATGGCTTTATTCATTTGAGCGTTCGAGATTTTACTGGAACCCATCGTCAGAGCTGAAAGCAGTACCAAGAAACAAGCAACGGTTATAGGATTCAGGAGCCAATCAAACACCAGTGGCGCCAGTCCGGAAGTGATTGCGCAGAGCTTTATACGTTGGCGAGAAATTGATTGACTGAGTTCTCAGACATCAATAAATTTCCGATCTGCCTTGCTTGTGGCGTGGACGATTTTCTTCGTGGCTGCGAAGTTAAACTTGGAGGTGTGGGCAGGTACTTGTGATAATCGGTCAGCCCGTCTCACAGCCAGCTTATGCTCTTGTAAGTATGATCCAAGCATGCCCCATTCTGCTCTATGCAGTTACGAGGACAGTTTGTGCTTGAACGCCAATACACTACATCCGACTGTTCAGTATGATTTAATCGGTTATCGATTTTTATGGCCCTGTTGCGCATGGCAGCTTTGAGCTTGTGTGCAATTCCAACACCCAGTCCCACAGCGATGTGTTCAGTTGCCTCTGACATGTCCTTGATGTTTACATGTGAAGTGGATTAACGGAACCATTGAAATATATGCTTATGTTGGGGAATTGTGCAATTGTGTGCTATAATTGTCGATTATACTATCACGACGAGGACCATGAAGTAGGTTTGATTGGCTTGTAGCTAGATCACAGACCTTGGCGTAAATCTAACCTGAGCAGCTTGACAGTCTCGCTAGTCTCTGAAATTCGAACGCCAGCTTGACCAGAGTGGTAAAGAGCATTGATAGTCACATGGTCTCCTGCCGATTTGACAGTATTGCCGTTTGCTAACAGATAAAAGTGAGAAGTAGAAGACGATTCGATCGCTGTGACAATATGTTTATTCGCCTGACGTTTCGAAATCCATCGCGGATTCATCATC